CCCCCCCCCCCCCCCCCCTTTCCTTTTGCGTGAATGAATCAGGTGAGCCCTCGGGACGTGCTTCCCGTCCTGGATGGCGTTCTGCTGCCGGCCATTGTCGAGGCTCTCCGGGACCACGCCAGCATAGTGAAGCAGGAGGCAGCCGTCAAGACTCTGGGACAGGTAGGCAATCGCGGGATAACTGAACCAGTAGAGTACCGCGGTACTATCTCTTGTACGCTCGTCGCTTTGGCGAAGGGATTTCTATTGCGCTCTACTTTTGGGCCTGAAGAGGTACGAACGACCGTGCGGGCTGTCTCAACTAGCGCCTTGTTCTACGCCAGTTGCTTGCGAAAGGTTGACTACCAGGCTTCAGAGCTGAGCAGTCGAAACGTCCGTGGACGTTTTGGATCTGCCCGGGTATCCGGGGTCCCTGGTGGCCTTTATTCTAATACCACCTTTGTGGGAAGTTGTCATCCCGCCCTCGAGCCATGGAAGGATAGCCTCGATGATTCCGCACTTCCCCCCCCAACGACGGACACCTTTGATTGCTGTCCATTCCCTTGCCGCCTCTGNGGGGGGGGGGGGGGGGGGGGGGGGGGGGGGGGGGGGGGGGGGCTTGCTCTTGCTCAGGGCGTTATACATGTACAACTTTTTTTTTAATTCTTAGCTTCTTTTTTTTGTGATCAGGTCGTGGGGGCCACCGGCGCTGTCGTGGCCCCGTACTTCAGCGACCCGAACCTGCTCCAGACCATGCTGGCGGCCCTGCAGAGGGGAGGGAGGTCCACAGAGAGGCTGAGGCTCGAGGTCCTCAAGACGGTGGGGATTTTAGGCGTGCTCGACCCGGTCAAGCTTCGGATCTACCGCCTTAAGCGCGCCTCCGACCCCTCGAGCGCCGACAGGAGAGCGGGGCTCAGCAGGCTGAAGAACGCGGGAGGGGCAGGAGACGGGGAAAGAGCAGGAGGGGGAGGGGGAGATGGCCTCGGCAGCACTCCTGACAGGTACGCTGTGGGTGCTCCTCTGGCCTTCGCATGTGTAACCCTTCGGATCCATTTTACTTCCGTGCCCCTTTTTTGGCCTCGGCAGCGCTCCTGACAGGTACGCTGTGGGTGCTCCTCTGGCCTTCGCATGTGTAACCCTTCGGATCCATTTTACTTCCGTGCCCCTTTTTTGGCCTCGGCAGCGCTCCTGACAGGTACGCTGTGGGTGCTCCTCTGGCCTTCGCATGTGTAACCCTTCGGATCCATTTTATTTCCGTGCCCCTTTTCTTCGTTAAGTTAGCCTGTGACCACGGGAATCGACCGCGTGTTTGACTGTTAGTACGAACAGGAGAAGGTACTGGGTAGAGAGAACGGGGCGGCTTTTATTGTCAAGACAGCGACAACAACCCGGGATTTAGTCGTGGCGTTTGGTGTTGTGTGCGGCGGCAGCGACGGGCAACCGCTTTGGAACCTGGCAGAAGGAACAGTGTGACGGTGCCGGAGTTGGAACCGTCTCGTCGACAGCTTTCCACAAATGCACTCTTTGACTGCGTCGTTATCGTCTTCTTCGTGGAGTAGTCGAGCTTATCGGTCCCATGGGGGTGGGTGTGGTATCTCGTGCAACCTACTTGCGTTACAGACTCGGTCCATCTGTGGCGGTACGTGGCCCCCCGTCCCTTGACCTCAACCCAGTCGAGTTATCGGCAGTGATGACACCCCGCTGCTCCGTCCTCCCGAGGACGCGGTCAACGGTCTATCCACTAGGCATGCAAGAGATGAGAGTACGCCCCCCCCCCACCTCATCCCCCTCACCAGAGCCTGGTCCGGTGAGAACCCGGCGTGCTCCGTCCCGGCCTTGTTGGGATGCGAGGTCAATGGTCTA